CAAGCGTACATTGTCTTCAGCACTGCCATCTTTGAGCTAAAGCATTTAGAGGATCTGTTTGGGTAAAATCACTCCATTAAAAAGGGAAGCAGCTCAATAATAAGAAAGAATTATAACTAACCTCAGGCAACATTTTCAGAAGCCTTAGGTTAAAGACAGGTTGAAAATATAATCAATACTTAAGCCCTTGGTATCAGCTCCTCATTTTTTCCCTCCTTCCCCACCTTCCTCCCTCGCAAACCTTTGATCGTTTGTAAGTTATTATTATTTTGTCATGTCTTACACTGTCCAACGTCTCCGTTCACCCACTTTTTTTTTTTTTTACCAAGGGGTCAAGTAGAAAGAAAATGTTTTGAGAAGGATGATGGCAACAACTGTACAAATGTGCTTGTCACAACGGATGTATGTATGGATTGTGAAAAGAGTTGTATGAGCCCCCAACAAAATAATTTAAAGAAGAAAAAAAAACATAGTCAATACTCTATTCAGAGCAAATCTGGGGTCTCTAATGAGAAATCAATTCACTCCTGACTGGTTTATTCAGCATGACTTTTAAAGATGATTCTTCTAAGAGTTTTGATTTTCTTCACTGCACACAATTTCTAAAATGTAAGTGAGCATATATCAGGTTTTCTTTCACCAGATTTGGCTGCATTTGTGTTCCGCCTCCTGTTTTTCCAATAAAATGAATGTTTGAGCTATTCATAGAAAAGTGGAAAACAATATAGGTGTTCTCTTTCTCAGAGTGTGATTAGGACATTTAGACTGGCTATTCATTCATAAAGTCATGTAAAATTCACTCATTCAGTTGATCAGTATTTACGGCATGCCTGGGGCTGATAATGAACAAAACAAACAGCATCCTTCCCCTCATGGAGCTTACTTTCCAGTTGAGGAGGCAAATAATAAACAAATAAGTAGGTAAAACATCTAGGTAAGAGATAATGGAAGTAGTATGAAGGAAAACAAGCAAAGAAAGTAAATAATAGGTATGAGATGGAGAGGGCTTTAATTGGGGTACAGTCTTGGAACAAGTACAAACAGAATGCTCCTTAGAAGCAAGGATGGTGAGAATTTCCTCTCATATACTTTGGACATGTTGTCAGGAGAGACCACCCCTTGGATAAAAGGACATGATGCTTGGTGAAGTGGAGAGCCAGTGGCAAAGAGGAAGACCAGTAGGGAGATGGATTGACACAGTGGCTGCAACAAGGGGCTTAAACCTAGTGATTGTGAGGATGGCACAGGGCAGGGCAGTGTTTTGTTCTGTTGTTCATTAGGTCGCTGTGTGTAAGAGTCAGTTCAATGGCACCTAATAACAGAAGCATAGAATCGTTTGAGCAGGGACCCAAAGTGGTGAGGAAGCAAGTCATGCAGTTATGTAGGGAGGAACATTCAGAGAGAAACTAGTACATGTAAAGGCTCTCGAGGGGAAGCCAGCCTGTTCTGTTTGTGGAGAAATATGCCAGGAGGGCTGGCATATACCTATGATAAAGCGAGAGCCATCCTAAGCCTTAAATGTCCTTGCAGATGCCAAAGACTCATCCCTCCCAAGTTCTTTAAAGAGTCCATGCCACTGTCTTTGACCTGGGTTAGTACAAGATCTAAAGCGGTGAAGGGTTTAGATGGCACCATGTTCAACCTTCAACATATAATTGAATTTCATATTCTGGGACCAGTCCCTTGGCTAACCATGGTCACACATCCAGCAGTACAAAAAGTTGGGTTGAGATATCAGACATATACTTGGCTATCAGCACCCCCAGTAGAATAGCTTTGGTCACGGGGTGGCTCAATTACTTCATCAAAGGGACTGATAAAGGCAAGGCAATCTCACGTAATACAGAATGCATGGGTAAGTTCAGCCCAACATCGCAATGTGGAAAACCATTGGTCTAATAAAAAAATTGTGGCTAGAGTCAAGCAAATACATTGTCAAATGAAATATGCCTTGTTTATATAGCAAAACTAATATTTGAAAGGATGCCTGTTTTTAATCTGTGACTTGTAACCCCCAAATCTTTGTGGTTGGTTTCTAGGCCCAGCAACATGCGTTAGAAACAACAAAGAGAAAATCTTATGAAGGAACTAGTCAAACTAGAAGGAAGAATATTTCCAATCTTATTTAAAACTGGGGAGGACTTGTCTAATACTTCTTTTACATGGTCAGTTCCTGCAGAGTTCTTGCCAAAATACAACATACCTGCTCTGAAAAACAACATTCAAGCATAAATTTTAAAACCTGCTATTAACGTGTTTATATCATGGTAGTTCAATAAAAATGTTAATCATGGGATATGCAGAATAGAGTACACATTCTATCTCTTTACGTTGGAATATTCACCCTCAAAATACATAAGCTCATCGTAAAAAAACTTACAAGGCTATCATGAATTGTAAGTTCTCCAGAGAGTAGCAGAAAATGATATTGTTTTCTTCCTAAGGACCATCTCTGGAACTGTAAAGACATTGTTCCAGCCCGTTCGTTTAGAGCATTTCTCATGGTTCACACTAATAGTGAAAACAGACTTCCTCATATAACATTTGCACTTTGGTTCTACTCGGAGTGAGCAAGGAAAATCTCAAGTGTGATTCATTTTCAATTAATCGCCTTTTCCAGTCATAAAATAAAACCATTTACTACCCAAGATCAAATCTTTCCATTTTTTTCCCCATTGCCCTTTCTAAAATTCCCCAACTCTGTCATTTTCAAATACAATTTCGTAACTTGGACTGAAGAATTCTGTGTGCCAAGAGACTGGCAATGGGGCATGTGTGCCAGTGTAAATTCAACAGTCCTTCACCATCCAAGTGCTGTTGACTTTGACCTTTTATGGATTAATCAAATTAATGGAATGGGAATACTTTTAAAAAACAACCAAAGTACAATTTTTTAAAAAAATCTGGAATCATGAAATTCTTCTTCCACACATTAAAAAAAGTAATTTTTTTATTTACATAAAAGAAAGGAGGGTGGGTGGGAATACTCACATTTCACTACATGTTAAAATAGTCCAAGAAACAGGAATGTAATAAAATTTTAGAGGTTCTCATATTTTATAGCACCTCATCTCTGGGTAGTGGGTTTAAACTTGTGTTACAATATTCTTTCTCTTCTTAGGTCATTACTCTTTTTACAAAATTTATCTACATGACAATAATAATAGTATCTAACATTTATATACCAAACACAGTGCTAAGTGCCAGAGACCAACAGGGGGAAAATTAGACTTTATGGATCTTATAGTCTAAGAACAGACATTTCTGGTCATTTTCTGTTTCGTATCTGAACAATCTTAGTAAGGCAGTGAATTGGTTGAGGCCATTCAGCCAGTCAAAGGTCAATCCAGGATTGGAACCAGCTTTCCCTTCCTCTAAAAGATTCCTCCAACATCAGAATCATTGAAAGCACTGAGCACATTGTAAAGGGACCAGGAGAGCCCATTCTTAAAGGTCCTTAGCATGCTCCATTTGACCCAAAACCAGAGGCAGAAAATTATTTGTGGCCATTCCAGAATCAGGTCTTGGAGGGTCTCTTCAGAATTTTGTTGCCATCCCATTGGAAGGCAACACAAGACCCAAATAGTTTTCTGTGTCAATGGACCGCCATGGTAAATAGGCAGCTGAATCCATAGAAACCTGAAGCTCGGAACCCTAAGCTACATAAAATTCCTCTAAAGGCATTCTCAACAGGGCTCCTTCTGCCTTCTGCCTTCCTACCAGCTTCTACCTGCTGCCAGTCACCATGTGCTGGTACATCTCAACACATGGCAAGATCTAGTCCTGCCCGTCCACTCTGCTGCCTTCAGAAGGGCTCTTCTAACGAGTGCTAACATCCAAATGAACGCCAACATCCCTTTTGCAGAACATCTTCTCTGCTCCTAGGGATGTCTCGCCGGTGTTCTGTTTCAGATTTCCACTCAGACATTAAAAAGACCAATTGATAAAACCTGAGATGTGTGGAAAAGAAAATCTCTTAAAGGATTGACGGAAATAAGCTGCTAAACAAATAATCCTTCATTTTATTCAAATAATTTTGGCATAAAGTGAACTGATTTCCTGGTGCCTATGTTTCCTTCGTGTACAGGGCTACTTCATCCTTTTAAAGCAATATGGTGAAAAATTAAACAGAATTCCCAGCACAGGGAGTTGAGAGAGCATACCTGTTTGCCTAGCATTGCTTTGAGAGGATCTCATTGGAAAAAATGACTAAATATGATCAGAATTCAACAGACAACTAAGTGGCTCATTTCATGAATGAGAAGCTATGTTTGAATGATTTAAAAACATTTTCAGTCTCACCATCCTCCTCCTCTCCCCTACTTTAACCTACCCCAATCCTGCATACCCAGTTAATCAACAGGATGGTGTTCTAGGAGTCCCTGGGTGGTAGAAATAGGTAACAGGTGGATTTTTGCCATCCAAAAGGTTGGGGGCTTAGCCCCGTCCCCTGGATGGGTGGTGCCTTGGAAAAAAGATCTGGAGAACTTCCCCCAAATCAGCCAATGAAAGTTCTATGGAATGCATTGTTCACTCTGACACTTGTAGTTGCCATGAGTCCGAATTGACGACAAGGCAACTGAGAATACAGCGGCGTTTTGTTTAGCCTTCCTTCTCTATCAAGTTTTGGGTCATCACGCGTCACCTGATTGAGATGTGCAGGGAGTGAGAATGGAAGGGCCACAGCCAGCAACGTGGAAACAGATTTCAAGGCAACAAAATCCGCTCACTTGTTTTCTCTTAATTTCCCAACCAAGCACATAAACGCATGCCAAGTTTGAAGTTGGATGATGGGAAAGCAAGGTTTAACCTGCCACAGGGGACCAAATCATCTTGATATTTGATCTAGTCAGATGCCCAAGAAAATGGACACTGGTGACCTAACCGGAAGGAGCCTGAGGTGGCCGGCTGAAGACAGAGGCAGTCTTTTCCTATCCAGATCAGTGATGTTGAGCAGATGAAGAGGCAGCAGCCGGCTCACATCTGGATAGGTGTCTGTGTCAGGAGCGGTAGGCTGCGAAGTCACGCACTGGGGCATAAGGCTGGTAGTGTTTGCGGGTGGGCCCAGGCCTCCGGGGAGTCGTGTTCATGTAATCGCTCTGAAGGATCCTGCTGCTCTTATTCCTTATCTGCCAAAAAGAGAAATGTCAATGTGGAGGGCATCAGGAACATAGAGGGAGATGTATTGGGAGTTTTTCTCAGATGAACAAAATTGTAAATTGAAATTCTATTTCGGGAGCAAAAAGTCAGAACATCAGTTATCAAATGAAACCAGACGCCATCATTCCTTAAATACCTTAAACTTGGATTGTGACTAACCCAGTGGAATTAACTCTTATAAATTAACTTAGAAATCCTGGATCAGAGGAAATACTTTAGAGAAATGCACTCATGTTACTCTTAATGATGCAAATTCCAAAATATATATCCAGTATTGCTGTATCTAATTAATATAGCCACTGTCCATATGTGCATACACTTGGAGACCCTTGCTCCCTTGAATGGGTCTAAAATCACCATGGCCATCTTTTTAGTCATTTACTTAACATGTTTTTCTAAATTAATCAAAGGCAACCTTCAGCTCATCCAGAGTCTAGAATCCTCATAAATTAATTGCAGTAGAATCCAAAATAACCAAGATTTTACAGTGCTGGACAACTCATTGGGCTGCTTAACTCTTCCTTCCTGTTCAGTTCTAATACCCAAGGATGACTAATGATTTGAGCCTGGGTGACTGGAAGGATGCCATTTCAACCACAGACAAAATGAGAACATGAGACAGTGGGAGAAACAGAATTAAAAGATAGATGATAAATACAAGTTTAGTCATTTGAGATTGGAAATGGTGGAGGATTGACTTACCTAAAACTAAGAAGAAAGTTCTACTTATACATTGTATGCTTAATTGTGGGATTCAGTCACAGACAGATAGGCATGGAAATCAAATGGGCAAGTACAGTTGTTCTTCAACTATCTTGGTTCTACAGCCTTCCGATGAGTGGACTACTAGGGCTCTCTTGGGCAAGAAGTTTTATCAGGCCATGTATGAAGGCGAGGAAATGCCTGCCCCAAGCAACGTATGTAAGAATGCTGAACAATCCCAGGAGACATTTAGACTCCCGAGGGATAGTCTTTACCTCCAGACACACCCATCCCTATTCAGAAACCTTTCACTGGTAGCCAAACCAAACTCACTGCCCTCAAGTCAACTGTGATTTTCAGCCACCCTATGGACAGAGTACAACTGCCCTTGTCGATTTGCAAGACGATGCATCTTTATGGGAGCAGAAAGCCTCCTCTTGCTCCTGCTGAGCAGCTGATGAGTTCGAATTGCTGACCTTGGGGTTAGCAGCCCCTTGCATCACCCTCTATACCACCCTGGCTCCTTTATAACTCTGGTAAAGAGGTCCTAATAATGAACATGAGATTTTCCGGGTTACAACCAAAGATGATGAAAGGATTGCTGTAAGTAGTCCCCCTGTTTTCATAAGATGAGGGATTAGCTCCTTGTCACGATAACCCTAAACACAGGCAGTGAGATGAATAGGATCAGGCCCGGCTAGAACACTATGCAGAATCCATAGCACCCATTAGCCTCTAGCAGATGCATATATATCTGCAGGGAGAACCCATTGGCTGGGTCAGTGTGACTAAGTCATTTATACACCTCTATATAATTCAGTGTCTGCTAAAGATGTGTGGTTTCAGGGCCACTCCCCCGTTTCCTCCCCACTCCAGTTGGTGCCCACTTGTTCCATGGGAACATTAGCTGGACACTAGGAAATTCACTTAAAGACAGTCTTCAAGAGGCTTCTGGATGTAAAGGCAGATACTACCTGTAAGACACTATCCACATGTTGTGATCTCTGTGAGGAAGACAAGGTGTTGTTGTTTTTTTGGGTTTTGTTTTTGGGTTTTTTTTTTAAGTCTCCTGTAGAATAGGGAAGAGAATAGGTTTTTGAGTTCAGCTGAATGAATGAATGGGACAGGGAGTAAGAGTAGCAGGTGCTGGTCTTGGCAGTCTGGCAGAAGGGTGCTCTTTATTTACCCAAATGTCAGCAACAGGTCAAGGACTGAGATAGAATCTGCAGCTGCTCCCAAAAGCCCAGTCAGCCTAGAACGACCTAAGGCAGCACATGGCAGGCCCTCCGGAAGTTCCAGAAAGCAGCAACATGCACCAGCACACCCTGCAGACCTGCCAAAAATAGAATCCCAGGGAAATAACCAGGCAAAAGTACCCGGAGTTTACCTAGGGATCCTGAATGGCATGACTGTCTAGCTCAGCAAGGGAAAGAACCCCCCCACCATGGCAAAAATAAAAGTTGGGGGGGGGGGCTGTGTTATCCTATGGAATATAGATGTGTTTTGATTTCACATTCCTATGGTCAGGGAACACAAAGGCTTTGGTTTAAAATGACCCATTGAATTAAGGGGAGCTCTTACTGAGTAACCTTATAGAATGAAAGAAGGCACATATGAGAAGACATTCCAGGTACTGAGACTTCCCAATTCCCAGCTAACTGGGAAGTTTTCTCAAGACAGAGCAAGATGGGCCTCAGTAGACAGTAGTAGTGATGCCAAGGAAGTGTGGCATCAGGGTTGGAGGAAGGCTTATTAACCACCTGCAATATGCAATTGACACCATCTTATTTGCTGAAAGTGAGGAGGACTTATTTGCCGACGAAGAACAAGAATTAAAGCCTTCAGTATGGATTACAGTGCAGTGCAAAGAAGACTAAAATCTTCACAACTGAACCAATAGACAATATCATGATAAACAGAGATGCGATTGAAGTTTTCAAGTATTTCATCCACTATCAATGCTCATGGAAGCAACAGTAAAGAGATCAAACAACAAATTGCTTTGGGTAAATCTGCTGCACAAGGCCTCTCTCAGGTGTTGAAAAGCAAGGAAGATACTTTGAGGACTATGGTGCACCTGACCCAAGCCATGGTACTTTCAAATGCTTACTACGCATATGAAAGTTGGATAGTGAATAAGGAAGACTCAAGAAGAATTTATGCATCTGTATTATGGTGCTGGCGAAAAATATTAAAAGTACCACCAACTACCAAAAGAACCAACAAATCTGTCTTGGGAGAACACTGCTCTTTGGGGGCAAGGATGCCAAGCCTTGGTCTCAAGTACTTGGACATGTTGTCAGGGGAAACCAGTCCCTAGAAAAGGACATCACACTCGGTAAAGAAAAGAGGCGTCTAAAAAGAGGAAGGCCTTTCCTAAGATGGATTGACACCATGGCTGTACCAACGGGTCAAACATATGAACAATTGCTAGATGGCGCAGGAGCGGTTAGTTTCCCTCTACTGTACATAGGGTTCCTATGAGTCAGAACTGATGCTGACTTAACGGCACCGAACAACAACAGCTAAAAAGGAAGCAAAGGGAGAGAGCAGCAACCACCACCTTGTGTCCAAGTCTTCTCATGTCTGTGATAACCTCCAAGTGGGAAGTGGACTGCCTACCTTATTGAAAATGAAAAACTGCATTCATTCCCTTGAGTGACTCAAGTCATTTAGCAAGGTGTGCCTCCTTCTAGTAACTGATATGCTACTGCACATTTACAACAATTTTTAAGTAATCCGCAGTAGCTTTCTGGTCACTGAAAGTTAAAGCAGTATGCAAAACTACTTCCTGTGAAGCTAGCAAACCACTTTGATCTAAGTCAGCAAAATTTCCTGGAAAGGTACTCACTGTATCTGGTCTTTTATTTTAAAAGTCAAGATTCCAAGAGGATTGAAAGTCATATAGTGGCCTAAAAGCCAATGGCCCATGATGGGAAAACTTCAAGAACTAAAAATTCTAAATTCTCAAATCTTTGACAATCATCACAGAAGGTCAAACTGGCAGGTACCTTAAAAGTAGAAACTAAGATCCAGAAATATGAAGGGAGTTCACATAAAATCGTATTTAGTACACCAAAGACTCCAACAGACGGCAAACCAGGCAAATTCGCAAGATGGTGCTTATTATAAGGAACTCATAGAAGCAAGAGCCATTCTGTTCCCTACCTTGAAGGTATAGATTATGCAGCAGACAGTCTGACAAATGTCCATCTGCCCCTTAAGGTTTTCTGACCTAGAAGTATGTGGGGGAACAATTAAGGGACAAATTTTGTTAACAGACTGACAGCAATTAAAAAGGATCCAAATCTGGGCGATAGAAGGGCCTGGTGGTGAATCCAGAGCTACTTCTGATCTCTCAGACTACAGTAAACGGGAGAGCTTGGCAAGACATGGCTTCCAGTAATTATTGTTGTCATTAGTTGCTGTTGCACCAGCCCCAATTCTTGGTGGCCTGTGTATAACACAGTGAAAGGCCACCCGATCGTTTGCCATCTTCATGACCAATGGTATTTTTAGACTACTGCTGTGACTAATGCCCCACCTGTGAATTACACTTATGAAGTATGCCTTAAAGGCATACATCTTTTATTTATTTTTTTTTAGGGTAGAACTGCCTCTATGGGTTTCTGAGACTGTAACTCTTTTTTTCTTTAATCATTTTATTAGGGGCTCATACAACTCTTATCACAATCCACACATACATCCATTGTGTCAAGCACATTTGTACATTTGTTGCCATCATCACTTTCAAAACATTTGCTTTCTACTGGAGCCCTTGGTATCAGCTAGATGCGCATCTTTTATGAATATTTGCTCAAGTCCTTAGTTTGGCCCTCATGAGGGTCATTGAATTCATTAATTTAATAAACACTCATGCAGTATTAAATGTACTTGAGGTCAGAGGGTGGAGACCATCGAGAGAAACAAGAGTTTTATTCTTGAAGGGCAAATGACTCATATATACATCTAACTTGGAAAATAAATAGCAGCCAAGTATGAGGTGTTCTGCACCCTGGTGTAAACATCAGAACAGGAAGTTTCTGACTAAGGGAACACTCCTCGCCAAGGAGGTCCCTTAACAATAGATATATTAATTGAAGCTGTTCAAACCTCAGTCAAAAATTCAACGTTGAGGAGGGTGAAGAGAAAGATACCACGTTTAATGTGTGAACATTCAAATGAATTGTCAGCTCCAGTTTGGCGATAAGAGCTCAGAAAAGTCTAACTGCCATGGTAGATTCATAGTGAGAGCACTGTGCTTTGACCTCACACTATTCGACTGCACCAGTGGAGACAAAAATATGCCTCAGATAAACAGTCTTAGCTTCTTTGGTAGATTGTAATTTCAATAGCCATGTTCCCTTAGCCATTGTAGTTACAATCAAGGGGCTATAAGCATATAGCAAAATGAGGAAAAGCAAAGTGATTGTCCCTAATTCCTGCCACTCTCAATTGCCCATTTGACTTCTTATCCTGGGAGGCACTAATCATTGCCTTTTGGAAAATAGGCCCCACATCAGATTTTGAGCTCAGATAAAATTGGACAGGTTCAAGAGAGAGCCTACTCAAACCTAATCAGGAAAAAGAAAGTAATCATATTTGCATTTAAATAGAAAACAAATCACACAGGCAAAAATACAAGCTATATTTAGATTGAATAAGTATTAGAAACGTTACACAAAAGCAGTGCCGCTTCTCTTACCCAGTAAGTATAAAAGGTCACTGTGATGAGCATGCTATAGAAAGCCAGGACTCCACTAATGATCACCGGTGCCCAGAAGAACTTGCAAGACTCAGGTAGGCAAAGATGTCTTTCTGAAAGAGAAACAAATGGGTTAAATGATGCAGGAATGGCACTTGAAGACATTTTCTTTGTTCTCTGTGTCATAGAAAATATGACAGAAATGAAAATATGCAAACTATCCCTAGCTTAGAGCATGTCTACTCTCTTTCTTGTCACCTGACTGTTGACTATACTCTATGATTGTGAATGGTGACTCCAATGAGCTTTTGAGAAGCAGAAACTCCCCATTGCAAGTCTTCCTAGATTTCACGCACCTAGCTCGTCACGGATAGCCTTTTCGATAATAAAACTATAACCATAGGTGTCTTCCTGAGGTCTGAGTCATTCTATGAAATTATTGAACCCAAAAGAGCAGTGCATGAGCAGGTCAGAAGTCAGGGGAGCCCCAGGGACTTCCAAACTTGTTCTCAACAGGTCTCTGCCACGACCCCTCCGACGGAGAAGACTCCTCTGAGTGACCCAGTCCCACGGATTATGACTTTATTTTTACTTCTCCACACAATGTCAGTGAGGGAAAACAAAGAGTATCAAAATAATACCAACTTGAAGGCTCCTCCCAGCATCAACCACCTTGAATCGCCTCTTAAGTAAAAGATACATCTATTATCCCATTTTTTTAATATCCCTTGGAATTACTTAATCCCATCCACTGGCGAGAGTGAAGCTGAGAAACATTTCCTTAGATGGTGCATGGTTAAGAGCTAGATTACCTTTCACGTAGATAATGGTTCCATTATTCTTCTCGTTCCCTATGTAAGGAGGAGGGTACATGACCTCGATTTTGCAGAAGTAAATATCTGTTTGGTTAACGAACAAATTGCGGAGGCAGAATGTCACCGTTTCGTTGCCCAAATTCCCATCACAGTGGAACCCCGTGTTTGAGTGAAACCGGAATTTATGGGAGTAATTCCCATTCACGACACAGACTTCCACGTCCCTGTTGACCCCCTTGTAGAGGGCGGCTTGGAACTCCTTGGAGAAGAGGTTGTTGGTGTACTTGCAGCTAAGGTTGACTGCGTTGTCCTTCGTCACGAGCATGGGCACCTGCTCCACAAATATCTTGTTTCCTGGGGGAGGGAAAATAGTTTGCTCAGAACAAGGGTATAAGAATTGTTTGGTTTGGTTTTTTTCTGAAGTGAAGATGTATTCATTAACCAAAATGAACAAAATTCCAAGAAGTTCTTTCTCTTAGCAGACAAATACAAGAGCTCTTCGGGAAATCATTATTCCTAGGGTTTAAAACGCACCCTTTGATGTCATTTTTTCCACCGAGGAATAAGTAAGATGGATCCTGTTTTCATGTTGGATTATGATCCAACAGAAGGAAGAATGTGCCCTTCTGGTGGCACTAAGTACCCTGCCCAGGCTCCGTAATTTGTGAACCGGTATTGAGATTCCTGGGATGGTCGGCGTGCACTGGGCTGACTTCCTGCTCAATTCCTATACTTGGGATTGGCTTTGACGGTCTCGCATGGCCATAAACTATGCCTGTTTGTAAGCTGTGATACAGGTGTTTGTGAAGGAATTTAAATGTTTTTAAATTCTTGAGTCTTTGTATGGACCATTCCAAGAGTAAGCTAAGGGGAAAATGAAGAGATAATCCAAAGAGTTTGCTTTAATTTATCAGAGAGAACAACCTCTTCAAGAAATTCACAAATGTGTCCCCTGAAGCCACAGATGAAGGGGGGAAACCCCACGAGAGTTATTTCTCTAGGTCCATCTCCCACTCTTTATCCTCCCAGTAAAAGAGCAAAGAACTTCAAGACCATCTGGTTCAATCTCTTCACTTCAACAACAAAGAACTTCACACTAGATTAGAAGCACCACAAGGCAAGAGAATCTATCGATCTGGTTTACTCCTGTGTCCCATTGCCTGACATATACCAACCTACTCAAAAGTATTTTGTTTGGTTTATGACTGTGTGAGCCTAGAGGTATTAGATGGTTTGTCTAAAGTCACTGAACACCACTAGAACTAAAATTCTAAGTCGGCTAGAAGCAAAAAACAAAACTCACTGCCATCCCGTCAAATTCTGATTTTTAGAGACCCCATAGGACACGGCAGATGGGCCCCTGTGGGTTTCTGAGGCTTTAAATCATGACAGATGCAAAGAGCCTCATCTGTCTCCTGCAGAGCGGCTGGTGGGTTCCAACTGGTGACCTTGTGACTCACAGCCCAACCTACAACCCACAATTCTACCAGAATTCCGAAGTGCTTACAACACACCTGGACCTTCAAATTCCAATACAAACAGAAACAGTCTTTGATACTGTTTTTGAGAAATGCTACTGTCTATTTAACACCTTCAAAGTGGGGAAATGGTTATTTGGAGCTACGCCCACTCTGAAAAGTCATTAAAACAAGGCTCTATTAAATGAAGTTTTACCAGAATTTTACTATGAATTCAAGATCTCACATGTGTTGTGTTTGCTATAGACTGGAAGGTGCCACATGGAACTAAACCACTAATAGCTTTCCACCTACCCCGTTCTCGATGCTGGCTGCGCATCAGGAATTTTTTTTAAGTACAGGTACCCATGCCCAAGTCCCACTCCCATAAATTCCCATCTAATTGGTCTAAGATGGGACTTATTGGGGGGGGGGGTGTCTTTAGGGGGAGGGCGTAGTTTCCTCTCTCTTTTTTTTAATGGCAACTTTATTACGGTATAACTCATCCTTCTAAAGGACACCATTCAATACATTTTTGTATATTCCCAGAATTGTCCATCAACCATCACTATCTACTTCCAGAACCTTTTCATCACACTGAAAAAAACTGCATACCCGTTTAGCAGCCACTCCTCATTCTTCTCCTCTCCCTCTAATGCAGCGGTTCTCACCTTCCTCAAGCTGCGACCCTTCAGACAGCTCCTCATGTTGGGGTGGCCCCCAACCATAAAATTATTTCCTTGCTACTTCATCACTGTCATTTTGCTACTGTTATGAATCATCATGTAAACACCTGATAGGCAGGATATATTTTTATAGTTACAAATTGAACATAATGAAAGTACAGTGATTCATCACAAAAACCATATGTAATTATATATTGTGAATATTTATTTCTAATGACAAAAAAATGAAATTTTGTCTTCAAGCATGGCGTAGCATGGTAACAGTCTTCAGACTGGGTACTCATAGGTGGGCGTATCTGCATGTGGGCGGGTCCGCCTGGAGAAGGATAGAGGAGCGGTGTCTCTGTTCCTAAGACCATCTGAAATAGGTGTTTTCCGATGGTCTTGGGCGACCCCCGTGAAAGGGTCGTTCGACCCCCAAAGGGGTCGCTACCCAAAGGTTGAGAACCGCTGTTCTAACAGATGGCAACTACTAATTTACTTTCTGGTTCTATTTTAAAAATTCAAGTATCACTTTCAACCAGTTAATGCCAGCTCCTAGCGACCCCAGTGGGTTTCTGAGAGCTTCACTGTAACGTCTCCAGCGGAGCTGCTGGTGTTTTTGAACTGCCGACCAGGTGGTTCACCACCCAAACCATAACCACTACACCACCAGGGCTCCATCTCCACAGACTTGTCTAATTCCAGAAACGCTGTAGAAATGCAGTCATACAATATGTGACTGGCCTCTTTCGCTTAGCATATGTTTTCAAGATTCATCGTGTGGCGGCATATATCAAAACGTTATCACTTTTTATAACCAAATAATATCCCATTGTATGAATCTACCGCCCACATTTTTCTTTTCCACTTGTCAATTGTTTCCATTTTGCACTATTGTAAACACTGCTGCTATTATCATGCGTGTAAAAGTTCCTGTGTAAGCATATGCGGGTAAGTAAAAAAGTATTGCTGCATGCCAGGCTTCTAGGTCACCCATGCACAGGCTTATTCCAAACACAACATGTTTAAAGGAGTCTCTGCACTTGGAAGATCGCTACAGACAAGTTCACTCAGTTCCACACTCTGTCGGAGTCTCCTTCGAGTACCTTCAGCAACAACACATTCAGCCAAAACAGTGGCATCTGAGGGGCTCTGCATGGTCAGCCAAAGTCAGGCGCAGCGGTCAGCTCAGGGCTTATGTTATCTTGATGAATTTGCTCAAAGGATCTAAGAAAGTCACAATAACCTATTGGGAAGAGTTTAAAGAAACTTGGAAACTGCATTGGTGAGAGAAAAAAGTCCGGAAAGTCGTACCAAGGATTTTTTTTTTCTAAAACAGTGGACCTGCTGCTCATCCTTCAAGAGTAACAAGTCCTGTGATGATTTTTCATTGTTTTGAAAATGTACACTATCCATCCTATTGCCCTGATCTTGCCCCTGCAGACCTCTTTTGGTTCCCAAAATGCAAATAACCTTTCAAAGGAGCATGACGTGAGTTCCTTGAGTTGGCCCAAACTGCTGTTTTGACATGGGAAGGGTTACAAAGAGGGAGCCACCACTTTCAGGAGAGTCTGGACCTAGAGGAAGGCTATGTGGAGAAATAACCGCTTCACATTTTGATGTCTTTGTATAATAAAGGTTTCTGTGATCCTCTGGCAATACTCTTACACTTACTCTCTGTTTTAAATTACCTGGAATAGAATTACTACGTCATATGTGAATTCTTCTTTTAACTTTGTAACTGTTCGATTGTTTTGCAGGGCAAAGCAGCCCCATTTACATTCCCACTATCAAAGTGTAAAGGTTCTGATTTCACTACGACCTGGACAACCTTTGCTGTTGTCCATTTTTTCCTTACTAGAGCCATCCTCGTGGGTAAGAAGTTGTTTTGATTTGCAATCTCTTGATGAATAATGATGTTGAACATCTTTTCAGGTGTCTATTAGTCATTTGCAGATCCTTGTTTAGAGAAATGTTCAGATCATTGGTCCAAATTTGAATTAGGTTATTTGTCTTGTGACCGCTGACTTATAAGAGTTATTTATATATTTTAGATACCAATTCCTTATCAAAGAGATATGATTTACAAATATTTTCTCCTATTCTGTTGCTTAACCTTGATATGGCCTTCAGAGTTCCCCTAGTTAATTCTAATAGTTAAGATTGAAAACCACTCAGACACACTGGTAATCTGAGGACTTACAGCTGAAAATTCATGGTGTCTGAGGAAGTAGGAGACGGCTGTACCAAGATTGTTGTACTGTTGTTAGGACACGCATGGCCCGGCTAGATCAATGCCCTGATGCTGCTTTAAGAAGATTATATATATATAATTCCAGCAAACCTGTCACTGACATTCGCAGTGAATACTGTTGTAAAATTTCCCTGGCAACCAACTCCTACTGTTTGCGTAAATAGCATTCAGCTATGAAAGGGCTATTTCTATATAAGTGAATAATTCAGGTACTGTGATGAGGAGTTAGCCTACACTGGCCCAATATCCTTCTCTCAACAGTACCATTGGATGGTGTAAGATATGGGGGTGGGGGGGTAACAATAATAATAATATTTAATATAATAACAAGTGTTCTTTGGGGGGTGGTGGGAATAAGAGGAAGGGGATACCAAAGAGTGCAAGAAGAAAGGAAATGTTCTGAAAATGATGATGGCAACAATTGTACAATCATGCTTGATCTAATTGAACTATGGATTGTTATAATATCTGCAGAACTCCCAATAAAATGGAAAAAAATAGTAACAGGGGCTAATAAAAATAATATGAACTTTATTGATAACTTGATTGATAACTCTCTACCATAAATTACCAAGGAGGTTTTGAAAGGGAGCCAAAGGCAGATAAATAAACATAGATCCAGGAATGAGTTTGGGACTCACACTAAATCCTAGCTCCAATTTAAGAACTAGTTCTTACATCATGGCCCTGCTTGATACTCGCCCTCAGGAAGGGACCACAGAAGATGTGGGTGCTATAGCAAAGGATGGAGAAGAAATTAGATGGTGCCTGGCTATCAGATAAAATAGCATCTGGGGTCTTAAAGGCTTGTTTCCAAACAAGCAGCCAAGTGATCTGTCAACTAAATCCACATGGTCATCATCGGTGACCAAAGGATTGTAAATCATATAATACAAAGCAGAAAGAGGGATTGGTATCAGAGTCCAAATTGAGAGAATTTGGTTTGCGAAAGGCTATGGATGACAGCCAAGATAG